TGTCTGATAATGTTATTGTGATAGAGCATATTGAAAAAAAGAAAAGCAAAGCAGAAGGAAGCATGATGCGGCACACCTTCAGTCCCAGCACTTGGGAGGCAGAGGCAGGGGGAGCTCTGTGAGTTCGAGGCCAGCTTGATTTACATAGAGCTAGAACTATATAATGAGAACTTTTCCCAAACAAAAACAAAGCGTTAGAGGAGAGAAAATATATTTTAGCTCAAAATTCCAATTCCAGGTTATAGTTCAAGGTGTCAGACACTCAGAACAGTCAATCACATCCAAAGTCAAGAGCAGAGAGATAGGAATGCGTCCATTCTTACTAATCGGTTCACCTTCTCTACTTTTACAGTCCAGGACCCAAACACAGGGAATGGTGCTCTCAGCAATGGACTGGATATTTCCACCTCAATTATCAATCAAGACAATCCCCCACAGACTAGCCTACAGGTCAACCTAACCTAGACAATTGGTTATTGAGACTCTTTCCAGATGACTCTAGGCTGTGTCAAGTTGCCAGTTAAAGCTCTCTGTCTCTCTCTCTTTCTCTCTCTCACACACATGCAAAACAATAACAACAGCAGCTTCATCTGTTATCTGTCTTTGCTTGTCCTATACCACTTGAATTTGTGTAAGTACACTAGATGGTGTTTTTTTGCACAACAACAAGGTTGCCTAACATGTTTCTACCAATAAGGGACATGAAAGACAAATAGACAGGGGTAGGGGTGTGTGTGTGTGTGTGATGGGATCAGTCTGTTACTGTTTTTTTTTTAATGAAATCTCAATCAGATCTCAGGATGAAGCTCATTCCTGTTGTGAATAATAGATTAGTTTGCTGAAACTCCACTGATTTAAGTGTTCCTGCAGTTTGAAACTACATCAGCAGAAAACGGCAGAGTAGGGTCTGGCATAAGCTCTGAGTGTCATGACCTTGATGTGGCAGCACATAAAATCAACAAACAGATAAGTATGGTCCCTGTTCCTGTGGTGTTTACTCAAAAAGTTATTAGTTCAGCAATTTCTGAATATAGACAAATCTAAGAGAAGAAGGCTAAATCAGGCTGTCTCTAAAGTAGTAAGACTTGTCAACATCCTGGCAGAATGAAGACAATCTAAAGCAGTGGTTCTCAACCTTCCTGATGCTGTGACTCTTTAATACAGTTCCTCGTGTTATGGTAATCTCCAACCATAAAATAATTTTTGTTGGTACTTCATAACTACTATTATGAATCATAATGTAAGTATCTGATATGCAACATATCTGATATGCAATCCCTGTGAAAGGGTCATTTGACTTCCCAAAGGGATTATGACCCATAGGTTGACAACCATTGTTCTAAAGAGATACTTGTGCCTTTCAATATTTCAGAATATTGAAACAAGGCACCCCCAAGTAATTGGAAGTTCCCCAGGAATCTCACACTAAGGAGAAAGAAATGGGCTGAAGCCTAGTACCTGCCAGAGAGTGAACTTACCTCCCAGGAAGAGATTTCACATAGTTCCAACCTGTCAGACCTATTGCAGAGGAGCCTAGATAAAGATGGGTCAGTGATGGATGGGACCACACCTTACATCCATGTTGCCCTGTATTTAAAACTAACCCACCGTTAAGATCCCAGAAGGTGGACACGGGGAGGGCCAGTGAACCTCTCTGTCCGTCTTCACACTGTGGCTACACTGAATAAAACTCCTCTCTCTGCTTTCCATTATTACTTGTCTCTTTAACTTGACTGAGCCCAGGTTGTTGAACTAATCGGTTCACCTTATGTACTCTTACACAGTCCAGGACCCAAACACAGGGATTGGTGCTGTTGCAGTGGACTGGATTTCTCCACCTCAATTAGCAATCAAGACAGTCCCCCACAGACATGCATAAAAGTCAACCAGTCTGACAGGAACAACACTCCTATCATTGCTAAGAAGGAAAAGGAGGCCAAAAAGTCTCTTGATGCCTAAGCCCAGGCACTGGGGGTGTAGGGAAGCAGCAGAAACGAGTCTTTGAAGATAAATTAGAACTTGTTCATGCTTCTGCTGGGGTCCTTTCTATTCATGAGCCTGGGGGTAGGCATGGTGGGTGGAGGACATTGTAGTGTATGGGTGGAGAATGTGGTCATGTATGGGTGGAGGTTGGGGAGGTGTATGGGTGGAGGATGGGTGATGTATGGGTGGTCCATTTTATCACTGAGAGATAGGAATGATCAGAAGAAATGATGTTTAATCTAAATACTGAATCATGGTTAGAAAGGAGGACAAGGACCTTTGTTGCAGACATTAGACACCTTAGAAGCTAAATAGAGACAGAAGGGAGCCAGAATTATGCTTGAGGAGGCACAAAACGTGACCTGTGGCTGGGGCATAGAGCACAGTAGGAAGCACACAGAGAAAAGAGAGGTGAAGAATTACTAGCAGTGCTGTGTTTCTCATGGGTTTCAGCAGACACTAGGGGCTCTGGATTTCTCATTGACCTAGCCATAAAAAAACCATGAACAGTGTTATGCCAAAAGGCATGTGATCATGTGTTTTAAAGAGATCATGCTGGGTCCAGACAGTCTTGGGGATAAACCACAGGGAACAACCACTGGAGCCAGTGACCATTAGCAGTAATTAAAGAATCTCCTGAATGTCAGAGTGGACAAAAGGGAACATGGCGGTGAGATGCAATGGGGTCCACATAACAAGAATAGGGGAGGGAGAGGCTAGGGATGTAGCTTCGTGTGTAGAGACCCTGAATTCCATCCAAACATACAGATTGGGTCTCGTAATGCAGGCTATTAATCCCAACCCTCAACAAGAGGAAAGAAGAGAACCAGAACCTCAACTCCAGTCTTGAATACACCTCACTGTCCTAAAAAACAACAAAAAATCCAGAAAGCTAGACATGGTACTACATGCCTGTAATGTCAGCACTAGTGAGAAGGCAGGCAGATCAAGAGTCCTAGGCAATCCTATAAAGGGACTCTGAGCACAGTCTAAGCAATATGAGAATTGGTCTAAGGGAAGGTAAGAGAATTGAAATTTCTCCTTGTTTCCTATCAAGCTGAGCATTAATCACTAGCATGTTTTTATAATTTATCCATAATCTAGGTTAGTTACAGCCAGAAGGCTTTTTGAGTGCTCAGTTTCTGTATTAAGAAGATTGCGCAGAAGGAACCATCCCTAAGGCAGATGTAAGGTTTAATCAGAGCCCCTAGCATCCCTTGAACATTTTCCTTTCCAAGATGAGAAAAAGTAAACGCAGAATAAGGTAGTTAAGGACTGGCTTATCCCAGGCTCCCCTTGATGGCTGTGAGCCCCACTTCCTGCCCCAGTGGACACCCTCTTGACCCACACAACCCACCCTCTGTTGGAATGCTATTTACTTCTTAACTGTATGTACAATAATCTATTATTACAGGAAGTACAGCATCTTACCTCCTGCAAACTTATGCCTATAGCACATGGTAGCTCTACACCAGTGTTTGTTAAATGCATACTGAAATGAGTGAATGAATGCACAGACAAATGAATAAATGAAACAAAAAGTCAATGGGACAAAATATAACTGACTAGCAGACACTTTCTGTGAGATGGAAATTCCCCTACAGTTTTTTTTCAACATAGCTCTTTAATAAGTGCTTGCTAAATACATGCAAGTATGAATAAGTGAGAAGATAAATAAATGACAAATAAAAAATGTAATCTGAATAGATGGCACAAGTAAAGATGAAACTTCCCAGGGCTGGAGAGAGGACTCTGTGGTTAAGAACACTGGTTTGCTCTTCCAGAGGACCTGGGTTCAATTTCCAGCATGCCCATTGTGACCCACAACCACCTGTAACTCTAGTTCCAGGGGATCCAATGCCCACACAACCATCCCTAACTCCAATTTCAATGCCCCCTTCTGATCTCTGAGGGCATCGGATAGGCATGCCGTACACAGACATACATGTAGGCAAAACACTTATACTGTTAAAATAATAAAAGGAATTTCCGCTACTATGTTTTTAAAATATTAAAATTTCATGAACAAGATGGATTTTTTCTTTTTTCTTTTCTTTCTTTTTTAATTGGTTTTCCGAGACAGGGTTTCTGTATAGCTTTAGCTGTCCTGGAACTCACTCTGTAGACCTGGCTGGCCTCAAACTCACAGAAATCCTCCTGCCTCTGCCTCCCCGAGTGCTGGATTAAAGACATGCACCACAACTGCCTGGCTGTAACAAGCAGTTTTTAAATACGATTTAAAGACATGGTAACTGATTCAAAAACAAAACCTAAAAAGCATTAAAGTGAGTTGCTTCTGGGTAATAAAACCAAATATAAGAAGAGATGAATTGGAGGATTTATCATTTTTCTTTAATGCTTCCCTGAATTATTTTATGTCTAAATACATGCTAGTTGATTTTAACAGAATGCATCTTGATAAAATTTAAATATTATAGTACAAAATTGGTCATTTTTTTTCCTGGAGGAAGGGTGTCATATGTCCTAGGCCAGCCTTGAACTTACTATGAAGCCGAGGGTGACCTTGAATTTCTGACCTGCTGCCTCCATTTCCTAGGTGCCACAATTATAAGTGTGAACCATCATGTCTGGTTTAAGTGATGCTGTGACTGGAACCCAGGACTTCATTCATGGTAGGTGAGCCTTCTGCCAACTGAGCTACATCCCCATCTCCAAATTAGTCAAGTTCTGAGCTACTGTTGAGTCAAGGCAGCATGCTGTACTTTTGGCCCGTGAAGTTGAGTACATTCCTGTTTTCTTGGTGCCTTCTTTAAAAAAAATGTGCTGAGTCCCAGTTACCAAAGAGTATTGAACCTAAGCCAGGTGGATAAACAGAATCTTGAACTTTAACAGGGCCGTTGGCATGGGTCAAACCTGGGCTGGCCAGGCCTTCTGACTGGTACCTGAGGTAGACGTAAAGAGACGGAGGAAGTCAATGAACTCTGACTTTCGTGACCATCTCTTGACATCAGAATTCCCTTTTTGTGTATGCACGTGTCTCCTCTGAATCTGTGGAGATGAAAATTGACATCCACACTCACATTCTACCCAAGGAATGGCCTGATCTAGAAAAGGTAATGGTAACTAATTCCTGGACCTTTCCCAGCGTCTCTCAACACCTCTATTTATAGGTCTCTCTCTTCTTTGGAGACGGAGCTCAATGTTCTTTGCTCTTGGGTAGTGATTTCTAAATGGCTTGGTAGCTCTAGTTTCCTACTATTTAAAGGTGGCTTTTACATTCATTTCGACAGAGCAATGGATCAAAGAAATAAAGGGCTTCTTGGAGCTTTTTGTTTCGCCTCACGTGACACATCCTTTCAAATTCCTGGATGATTTAAGTCAGGCAGCTTTTCTGCCTTTTAAATAGTGGGTTCAGCTGCTGGAGAGACCCCTGCCAACTACAGGATGGAAAGACACGGTTGCAACTAAAAGACCATTTGAAAAAAAAGGATGAAAGGATGTGGTCGGTTTCCAAAATGTTTAAAATAGGTTCTGGAAGCAACAGGATAGCTTTTGAAATGTCTTTTCAGTCTATCAAATCTCTGTCTGAAACCTTTCCTGTCTGATCTCTAAGCTGTAAACCCTTGCCAGGGAGACCTGGAAAGAGAAATCCCCAGAGTCGATGACGTGAAATTTTTGTACAATGGGTGTCTCTAAAGAGTGTTCTCTATAAAAAGAAAAAAAAAAAGACAGGATGGACCTGTGGGCATGACTCAGTAATAGAGAGTGTTTGCCTCGCTTATGTGAAGCCCTGGGCTGCATCTGAAGCTCTGAGAGGGGGGGATGTAATCTCTGTGTTTCCCTAAGAATGCAAACTTCCCTTAAAGACTTACTTCTAACCGTGTGTGTGGTGTGTGTGTGTGTGTGTGTGTGTGTGTGTGTGTGTGTGTGTGTGTGTGTGTGTGTGTGTGTGTGTGTGTGGCCAGAGACATCAGATCCCCTTGAGCTGGAGTTACAGAGTGATGGGAATAAAATTTGGTTCCTCTGGAAGAGTAACACTCACTGAGTTATCTCTTCAGCCACTTCCTTAACAACTTGTAAAGTTGGTATCAGTAGGCTGAAGAAGACAATTACATAGTGTATTGCTGACCAGGAAGGAAGGGAGGGAGGAAAGAGGAAAGGAGGAAAGGAGGGTTACTGAAAAAGGAAGGTGGGAGCATAGAGGATCTTGTAACAACTTAGAAGTTAGTTTAGGTCAGAATCTGGTTTTAGCCAGTCTTTGCTACTCTGGAGTACTTTTGCATTAGTGGTAATGTTTCATCTTTATTTTACTTATGGTGGAAAAAAATGAATTAACACAAGCTCTAATTAAAAAGTGGTTCGCTGTGCAAACAAATTTTCTTCTCACTGTTATCTCATATACATAGGCTAACCTCAGGCTCAGGTGGTGGAGTGCTTGCCTAGCATGCCCAAGGCCCTGGGTTCAATCTCCAGCTCTGTATTGAACTGGGCCCATGCCTGTTGTCCCAGCATCAGAAGTGGAGGCAGGAGGATGAGATGTTCAAGGTTATTATCCTCCATTACAAAGAGAGCTGAAGGCCATCTTGGCTTTTATGAGACCCTGCCTCAAAGGGAAAAAACAAACAAACTTCTGATCTCAGGCATTTCTCTGTCCATTGGTAAGTGAGCTGGGAGGGAGAAATAACAGATTGAAATGTGGGAGTAGTGGAGAGCTGTCCAAAAGCCTATCCCATAGTGGCCAATGGAAACAGAGAGCCCTGTTGACCTCAAACCCCGCTTGGGAACTTCATGTCCTGGTCACATCTTATAAAGGTGTAAACAACACTTCGTGATGTTAATGATTTTGAGAGGAATGTCCCAGGCACTTCCCAGGGGCCCTGTAGCAGCGTCTTTCTTCTTACTGTACTGTTCTCAACCCCTGGCTTATGAGGAATCATCTGATGAACACTACAATGAATAAATTGTGTATGAAATGTGTCATACTCCATCTCCTGACAGCTTTAGGAAAACACAAAGACACACAGACACAGACACAGACACACACACACACACACACACACACACACACACACACACACAAATTCATGATAGCCCTCAATCTAGTGGCAGCAAGGAGTATTAACTCCAAAGTCACAGATTTTCTTTTTGTTTAAACCTCATAAAGCAAACAGACAAAAAGCCACATGAAATGCCCAGGGCTCCCATGGTGGTCTCTGCTCTGAGGCTGCTCAAATGCTTCCCACTCAGGACTCCTTTCTACCGAGAAATTCTTATGCCACCCAAGATATACTAGTGTGTAAAATAGGTATGCAAACCAAACATGTGCTGAAACCAACTTTAAAACAATTCTTTAATATGTATTAAGGATAAAAAGCAAAATTTTATTCTAATGCGATGAATGTGCTTATTTTTACACAAAGAATTAAATCTTAGCTGAACATTTAATTCTGCAGGACATAGAACATCTTCAATACTTTACAGAATTGATAGGATTTTTGTTCCTATAACTGTCAGTGTTGAGAATGCTATATCACATAAATATATAGTATAGAGAGGCAGAAGTATTTTTAGGGCTATTCCACAAATCATTGGGAAGTCTGTCCTAATCCCAAAACAAAATTCTCTCAGCCATTTTATGAACTTCAAACCAGCAAATCAAACAGTAAATTTTGTTTTGTTTTGTTTGTTTGTTTGTTTGTTTTTTGAGACAGGATCTCATATAGCCCACGGTAGTCTCTCTGTGTAACCAGGGTGACCTTGAACTCTTGACCTTCCTGCTGTTGCCTCTGGACTGCTGGGATTAGAGGCATAAGCCTGTTTATACGAAGCTGGGAATCAAACCCAGGACTTGGTACACGCAAGGTAAACCCTCTACAGATTGAGCTACATTTCTAGCCCTGGAATGGCAATATTTAAAACTAATACTCTAAGACAGTACAAACCAAAAATATACTCACAAGATACTTACAAGCTGAGGAATGACAGCAGGGAAAATATTGAAAGTCTTTGTTTTCTATAATGAGTCCATTATGTTTCTCTAAGAGCCGGAACTATATGTACAGCCGTCACTGCAATTGATTGCGTACAACAGTCTCAATGCTCAGCGGAGGTGTTTCAGGCGGTGTTCCTTGGTGTTGCACGGTGTGACAGCCTGCACAGTACAAAGTGCGTAGATTGTGTGTTCAGAACCAAGGCTTCAGGGAAGTTGCACAATGCAGTGTGGGCACAGACTGCCAGAACCACCTCGGATGGATTCATTATACATTTGACGTTGAATTCATTTTTGACCATTGCATGCTTTGCTGCTGCCAAATTTTTCCGCAACCCCCATTTCGTGATCACCAGATAGGATCATGACCCACAGTTTAAGGAGTGGCTTACAGAGGACCCTCCCCACCTGTACTCTGCTTGAAGAGTGTTCAGCATGACCCATCTGCCTAGAGAATGTCACACCAGGAGAGGTCCAAGCTCCATGGTCTCTACCTCCTTGTCTAGATGGGAATCTTGAAAGGACTTAGAAAGTTTTGTTGTCTAAATGTTGTGTCCTCTCAAAATTCATATACTGAAACCCTCCCTTGCAAGCAAGAGGACACAGAGGTGGGGCTTTGGGAAGCAATTAAGTCTTGAGGAACTGGGTGATTCTTATAAACCAGCCCAGAGGAAGCTCTGCACTTACTTCTTGGTGCAGCTTACCAGAGCGTGAGTGTGCTAGCTCCTTCATCTTAGCTGCCCCAGCTTTCTGAAACTACGAGAAATGTCTGCGTTTAGAAGCGTCTGGTGGATGGTATTTTGTCAGGGTATCCCAAAGGGGACTAAGACAGAATAAGCCAGACAGGAATTTTCAGTTCCAGTCACATACCAGTACACTGAACAAAGAATCCAATGTTTCATCCATTCTTTTCTTTCTCTCCTGCCCCCTTCCTCCCCCATCCCCCGCCCCCAGGTCTGGATCTCAATATGTAGCCCTGGTTGGCCTCCAACACATGACCCTCCTGCCTCAGCTTCCTGAGTGCTGCATTACAAATGTGAATGACTGCCTAGCCTCTGCTTGCATTCTTATTGTGGGATCTGAACTTAAAGCCTGTCTTCACAACGCCCTCCCAACACTTTAAGCCAATGGGTAACACACTCTCTGGCGTCCTTGGAAACCATGACCATCTCCTCACTAGGTCCTATTAAAATCCTCCATCTGAGCACAGGAGACTGCAGCTAAGTCCTAAGAGTAAAGTCCTCCCCCCTCCCCATTTAGGACAGCCAGAGGAGCCTAGAACAGAGTTTGCTCTTTGCAGGGAGGAAAAGTAAATGTCCAAGTACTCACCTCCTGTCCACCAAGCCTCTACCTAAAGCAGAGAATTGAACATCTACAACTGACAGCTTCCAGGTACCTCATCATCTGAACCCTAAAGGCATTGTTAAAACTGATTTTAAAACTGAGAGATAGAATTTGGGGGTACATATATGTATGTCCTAGAAACTTCCTAAGCACAGAACAAAAGTGCACTTCAAAGCAGAAGTTTTGATGGCTTTTTCTATTACCTCCCCCTCCTCTCATCAATTTCACTGAAACAGGAGGGGTATTTAGTCCCTTGAAGTCTCCCATGCTGCAGGCAGAGAGAGGACTCTTCATAATGACAGCAACAGTAATAGTCATGACACATCAGACTTCTGAAGGTTAAAAAAGAATGCTGAGGAGGTACCTGAGTTCACTGCTCAGAGCCTCTGCAAAAAGTCAGGGATGTGACATGCTATAATCATCCAGCACCAAGAAGGTAGACACAGACTGACCCCTGGGGGTGCTGACTGGTCATCTTAGGCTAACTGGTGAACCCAAGAACAATGGGAAACTCTGCCTCAAAAAAAAACAAAGTGGATGGAACATTACATGTGTACATGCCCCTGTACACACTCAAATACACAAAAAGAGAGATGGCTTGATTTATATAGAACGTCACAACAAATGTAGTCAGTGTCTACATTATTAACCCAGCTTGACAGGTGAAGCGCTTGATATTCAGAAATGAACCCAGAGCTTTGTGGGTCTCCCCAGGGCATTTTAACCCCATCCAATGGAGAAATCTGGCCCCAGACACATCACTATTTTTCTCTGTTCCTCAGTGTCCCCCTTGACACCAAGTTCCTCCTCTACTTCTCCCATTCATATAAACACACAGAGGGAGCTTTGTCGTGGGATCACAATCCGCAGGTCAAGCAACCAGATCTTTAACACAGTAGGCATCTCCCTGAGAGTGATGGTTAGCCATTGTTGGGATAATTAGACTCCAATGTCCCTGATTCCCTGAAGGATGGGAGTGAGGTAAAGGGAGATACATCCATATGAGACTAGAGTCTTTCTTTTTATTCCCTTATTTCTGGCCTACCTTATCAAAGTAAAGTGAGTTGGGTTTTTGTTTTGTTTTTGAGACAGTATATCATATATCCTAGGCTGCCCTTGAACTTGCTATGTAGCTGAGGATAACCTTGAACTTCTGATTCTCCTGCCTCTATCTCCAGAGTTCTGGGACCACAGATGTGTGCCTGGTCACATAGTGCTGGGTATGGAACCCATCTCTGTGAACGCAGAGCAAGCTCTCTACTTACTGAACCACATCCTCAGCCCCCTAGAGTGTGTGCTGAAGTAGTGTTAACTATAGCACAATGTCACGCCTATTGTTTCTTTTTAGGGATCATATTTTTAAATGCCTATCTCTCTTCTCACAATTCCTCCAAACTTTCCAAGGGAATAATGAAAAGAATGAGCCAATACTATTTTGTTTGGGAATCTTAAGTATCTTTGGAAGAAATACTATTTCTCTTCAAACCTTCCTTTTCTTCTTAAATATTAATAGACACACACCCCAACCTCCACTACCTTGTGCAACGAAGGAAGAAAAGAGCAGAGTCAACACATCTGGGATGATGATTAACTAGTAGTTATAAAGAACTAGTATTTGATTTCAAACAGGGATAGGTCAGGATTTTTTTTCTTTTTTTCTGAGAAAAAAAGGCTCTGTGTAGCCTTAGCTGTCCTGGAACTCACTCTGTAGGCCAGGCTGGCCTGGAACTCAGAGATACACTTGCCTCTGCCACCTGAGTGTTGGGATTAAAAGTGTGCATTACCACCACCTGCCTATAGTCAGTATTCTTAAGAACGAAAATTTCAGTGGTTTAAGGAATGGATGATTCAGTAAAGCACTTGCCTTATAAGCAAGAAGGCCCAAGTTTAAATTTCATAACCCATTAGCCAGGTGGATCTCTGAGTTCCAGGACCACCAGGGCTATACAGAGAAATTCTGTCTCAAGAAAACAAAACAAAACAAAAAACAATCCTTTAATCCCTGAACTGTGGAGTGAGAGACAAGTCCTCTGGGGCTTATTATTTAGCAGAAATTCTGTCTCAAAATCAAGGTGGCCAGACTGTGGTGGCCCACGCCTTTGATCCCAGCACTCAGGAGGCAGAGGCAGCTTGGTCTACAAAGCGAGTGCCAGAATAGGCTCCAAAACTAACCCTGTCTTGAAAAAATGAAAAAAAATCAAGGTGGATGGTACCTGAGAAGCATCATATGTGCCCCCAACAAACACAGGTGCATTTTAAAACAGGTAATATGAGGTGGAAAGACAATGGCTTCATGGGAACAGAGTCAAGTGGTTTCTGGGGACTCGGAACTCGCTTTATACTGTTACCGATGCTCTGGAAGCCATGGAGGGGAAATGCTTTGGTTTGATCTATAATGGGGTAACTTTTGGCAATAGTGATATGGCAAAGTCCATGATGAAAGATGCTTCAGGCTGGTCTACTGGGATTCCAAATGGGATTACATGGCACCCAGCTGTTTTACATGAGTCCTCAGGCTCAAACTCAGGTCCTCTGGCTTCATTTGCCAGCTGAGCTATCTCCTCATCCCATAATTTGACTCGAACTACTAGTCTAAGAAAGTAGAACTCTGTTTTTATTCTTTGGGAGTTCTATTAGGCATTCAATGATGGTGTGAAGCCCTCAAGAAGTTAAAATGTCACTTCAGATTTTGGCAAGGTAACCCCAAGTATTCAGGAGACTGATACAGAATGACGGATTCAGCCAGAAGCTTAAGGAAAAACTCTCAAACTCCTCCTCTATCTCTCTTCCAATGTATTGAGACAGGAACTCATGCAGCCCACGCTGGTCTCAAACTTCCTATGAAGGCAGGGATGACCTTGAACTCTAGATTTTCCCGCCTCTACCTCCTGAGTGCTGGAATTAGAGGTGTGAGCCACCATGCCTAATTTGTTTGGTGCTGAGGATAGAACCCAGGGCTTTGTGAATGCTAGGCAAGCATCCTACTGACTGGGCTGCATCCCCAGCCCGGTATAAACATTTTTCTTTCTCTATAAATATATCGTTTAAAGGAAAATGTATTTAATGAAAATATTAAATATTTTGGTATGGAAGTATGGAGGAGGGAACAACAGAAAGATGGTGTTTGATAGGACAGAGGTTGGGATCCTGTGCCTGGAGGGTACACATTGACCTCAGGCCCATCTTCCTCACTGATAAAGTCTAACCGTGATTCTCCTCACTGCAGAAGTTCGGCTATGGAGGCTGGGTGCAGCTCCAACAGCAAGGCAAGGTAAGTTTCTCCCCACACTACCTTTTGAAAGAGGTAAACTAAAGTCAAAGGTGTCACTTCTAATAATTTAGAAATAGCCGGGCGGTGGTGGCACACGCCTTTAATCCCAGCACTCGGGAGGCAGAGGCAGGCGGATCTCTGTGAGTTCGAGGCTGGGCTGGACCGATAGCCTCCAAAACAATACAGAGAAACCCTGCCTCGAAAAATAAAAAATAAATAAATAAATAAATAAAATAATAATTTAGAAATAAAAGGACCAGACCCTCACTCAGCCCTCTGCTTTAGCAGCCATGACAGGCTACAGACACAAGGAAACTCCAGATTCTCTGGCCTCCCAGATCCTAGGACCAAAACTGAACCTCCAAAACTCCAGATGCACCCCCAGCCTCCTAGATACTTGATTCCTGGAAACTGTTTGGCCACAAAAGAAACTCCAAGAGGGACCAAAATCTCCCCTATAGTCTACAGGATATAGTTATGAACAACAGGCCACCTGCAAGTAACAGAAACCACAGAATGTTCCATCTCATTACTGACCAATGACAATAATTGGTACACAGGTTTTTCATGCCAAAATATGACTTTGAGAAATTCTCCTAATTGTTCCCAAATGTCAACCAATCAGAAACCAACCTGTACCTACTGGTGTAATCCTGTAACTTTTGTCTTTAAAACCTAGCAGTAGATGGGGAACTTCACTCCCTCTGGAGGCTGCTGCATCAGCTTTCTAGACGGGGTCCCTGTCATGGGTGAATGAACAATAAAACCTTACTTTTACAGTTTAGTGGGTCTGTCTTCCTGGTGGTCTCTGGGGACTCTGCAACTTGGGCACAACAACCCAAGGGCAGCAAAGTGGTGATATGCCCGGCTTAGTTTGTTGTAGGCTGGGCATCCAAGAAACTCATCTCTTCCCTGCATGCATTAATCTCATAGTAGGCAAGGAAGTAGCCCTTCAGTTTCTCAGACATAGTAGGAAAAATAGGAGTGACTTCAAACAGCAACATCTATGAAATAAAAACTAGAATTGAAATGCCGCTACAATTTTTTTTTTTTTGGTTTTTCAAGACAGGGTTTCTCTATATTATTTTGTAAGCTGTCCTGGAACTCGATCTGTAGACCAGGCTGGCCTCGAACTCACAGAGATCCACCTGCCTCTGCCTCCGGAGTGCTGGGATTAAAGGCATGTGCCACCAATGCCCGGCTTACAAAATCTTTTTTAACTTTTTTTTTTAATGTTAGGTGCCCGCCTTTAATCCCAGCACTCAGGAGGCAGAGGCAGGCGGATCTCTGTGAGTTCGAGGCCAGGCTGGACCGACAGCCTCCAAAACAATACAGAGAGACCCTGTCTCGTAAAACCAAAAAAAAAAATGTTATATTTGCCTTGGAGCCAATTTTAGCATTTACTGCCTAGCCCCAAGGAAGTGACATGGCCCTCGGTACAGGTTATTACAGTATATTAGGACTAGACAAATTAGTGGATTGGTTAGGAGAGATCAGATGATAAAGCTGTTGAGTCAACTGACACACAAACTTACTTTCTCTGCCCTTATATTGCTTCCCTAGAGAGCCAGATGACAGTCTATCTAAAGGTCTTTTCCAGTCCTATTGTGTCATGAGTATGACGTTTTCTAGGCACAGATCGTCCTCCTGAATCTCACAGCCAATAGTTCAGATCAGCAAGATGATGGACCAGCCATCCTCATCACACAGGTAGAAAGGGCCTGTCTCCGTGTTCAGTTGCCGACACCTACACAGCACAACTCTTCAACAGCAAACTTGAAAGGCAGGAGACAGAAAAGCTGAGCCCCATTAAGCAATCGATTTTTATCACCATGCAGACTAAGGGGAAATCCCTAAGACTATATGGGGAAGAAACATGTTCCATAACATTAATCCAGGTTGGGGAGATGGCTCCATCAGTAAAGGCCTTGAGCTGCGAGCATGAGGAACTGAGTTCCATTCCCCAGTACCCATGAAAAAAAAAAAAACAGACATGGTGATATGTGTTTGTAATCCCAGCACTGAGAAGGCAGAGACAGGTGGGTCCCTGGGGCTCTCTGACTGACCAGCCTAGCCCTAATTTGTGAGTTCCAGGCAAGTGGGAAAAAATGATAGAAAAAACAAACAATCAAAAACAAAAGCCAAGGCTAACCTCTACACATAGCCACATGGATGTGCTTGCCACCTGAATGGTGACACTCAAGAACACAGGGTTCATCCGAGCAGTTGTCTCTGCTGATGTGGTTTCTCTGGCTCAGGGAGAAGCAAAGATGATGAAAGATGGGAAGGTCTTCAGAGTGATCCAGCAGAACTGCTGGGACCCGGAAGTTCGTGTCAGAGAGATGGACCGGAAAGGTACTTAGGATGTGAAATTCTCTCAACGTTTCCATCTGCTGTGAAGCAGCACCTGCCCTTAAAGTCGATGACCACTTGATATGATTTATGGGATGGCAACTTCTGACTCCCGTTTCCCTACCAGCCATGCTGGCCACTGTAAGCCCGTGCTTTCAGAGCACGGATTCGAAAGCTTCAAATTAGTTTCAAAACAAAAATGGTATACTATCAAATTGATGATAATTCATCTTATAACTTAAGATATTTTGAGTGCGGGTCTAGAAAACAGGCCAGTGGGGGAAGTATTTGCCACACACCTGGGAAGGTCTCAGTTCAGATCTACAGAAGCCACACAAAGTCAGATACAGTAGTGGAGATGGCTATGGTCTCAGCATTCGCGTGGTGAGGTGGGAGGCAGAGACGGGAGAACCCCAGAGGCTCACAGGCCAGCTGGCCTGGTGCACTACGATCCCTATGCTCCTGGAGTGAGATGGTAACTGAGACAGAGTCTCCAAAACCTCATGGACAGCCAGGGACAACGACCAAAGGGGAAGGTGAAGACCGATACATAAAGTTGTCCTTTGATCTCCACAGGCATGCTGTGACACAAATGGTTCACACACACACACACACACACACACACACACACACACGCACGCACGCACGCACGCACACACGCACGCACGCACACTCTCTTTTATCTTCATCTGTCCACTCCTTTCCTTCTCTCCTTGCCCTTTTGCTTTGTTTGTGATCCACTGATTTTTAACCAGAACTCTCTGTGTGACCATAGGTTTAGAACTATCCCCTGGAGTCTGGTGGGCTCACTATTGGCTACCCAACTGAAGACAATAACTACCCATCCCCCAGAATCTGTCAGTATATCCCAGTAGTTCAACAAGGTGGGTACAGCCCAGTGAGCCCTGCTGCTATTAAGTCAATCTGTAATTGAAGTTGATAGTACCAGTCTTGTGCAGGCCCATTGCTGACTTCAGATTTTTGAGACAGGCTTTCATGTATAGCCCAGGCTAGCCTTGAACTCACTATATGTAACCAAGGTGACATTGCAGTCTTGTTCCTCCTGTGTCCTCTTCTAAAAATGCTAGAATAGCAGGCTTGCACCCCCATGCCCAAGCAGAATTCTATTTTATTTCACAGTCCACAAAAAAAGAGTCACTCTGGCAGCATCAAACGAATAGCGCTGTCTGGAAGTCTGCAATCTGGTGGCATGCACTTTTGTCCAGGGGCTGTTTTGACAACCACTGTTTAAACACATACCCCAGTGACATTTGAATCCTGCTTTGCAGAAAGCAGGAAGCAATTCTGTGGGCTGCTCTTCAGGATACCTGTGCATCCCTGGTTCTCAAAACCACAGGGCAAAGAACTAGTTTTCACTGTAAATGTGAAGAGAGAGCAAGGGCCCAGACTCTCAGGAGAACAGTAACACTCAGACTTGGCGCCCAGGCATCAGAAGTTGTCATTTACGACTGCAACAGAGGTGCACGCTTCTCCTTTGGTTTTTGTTATTTTTTTTGCATGTTTATCTCAATGCCTGTCCTTGAGGCAACAGTCACGACTCACTTTCAGTGAGCATTGTCTTTGCCCCTTCACCTGACACAAATTAACTCTTAGTTCCTACCATGACCCTGAGGTACTCACTTCAGATCAAAGATTTTCAGATTCCCAGATCATAGACTCTGGAACCAAGCTCCGGGGAAATGAAACTTTAAACAGGCTAATTTAGGAACCAAATTAAGGGGACTTGAGAGACATACTTGTCATGTGTGACTTACAGTAGAAAGCTTTAAGGGAAAAAAGATGGAGACTAGAAACAAAGATGGGAAAAGTTACAAGAAAGTAGAAGGAAAGCTAGCTGGGAAGAGGAAATGAAAGGGATGAGGAGGACTGGAAAGGGACCAGGGAGAGTGATAATAGGGTGACTGTGGTCAAAATACATTATATACATGTATAAAAGTGTCAAAATGAAATGCATTACTGTGCATAATCAACATGTGCCAGTTTTTAATGGTGAGGAAATGCCTTGCTTAAACAAAGTTTTGTCACAAGGAGGGTAGAAGAAATCCTTGGCAAATGGCGCCAGGTCATTTTTCTTGAATGATCAAATGTTGTCCAACCCCCTCTCTGTAGAGCTGGGGGAGGAGGAGAGAGAGCATGCCCAAGGGAGGAGCAGTGAGGGAGAGACAGCAGGTTGGGGTGGAAGCTGTGGCTTCCTCGCCCTGGGAAAGGCTCTTCTGCTCACAGTGTGTCTTTCTTTGTGTTGTAGGAGTGACCGTTCAAGCTCTTTCCACGGTTCCTGTCATGTTTAGCTACTGGGTGAGTGTGAAACTTCAAACCATCCCCCGGGTGGTGAAAGCTCATGTCCAGCTCCCCAAAAGGTGGCAGACAACTTAAACTGGTCCCATCAAGCCCCTCCCCTAACTGTCCTCCTCTTTGTTTGGATGTTTTTGAACTGACATTAACCTTGAACTTCTAAATCCCCCTGTCCCTGTCTCCCAAGTACTAGGACCCAGGTAGGCTCCACTGTGCCCAGTTTATACAGCGCTGGGGTTGGAACCCAGGGTTTCTTACATGCTAGGCTGGCACTCTGCCCTCTAAGCTGCAGCCCTGCTCCAGTGGCTCCTTTTTGGTTCAGTAGCATGTTCTCCCCAGAGTCCCTTCTAGTGTTGTTCTTGCTTTAGGACAGAAGCCAGTATGTGGCTATCAGACTCATATATAGATTCACCACACAGTTCAGTTATAGACTGAGTCCCCACCAGAGCTCACCTCTCTAGGCTCACCCCTGCAATGCCTTCCTAAACGCTGCTGGTGGTGCAAGCCTTTAATCCCAGCACTCGGGAGGCAGAGGCAGGCGGATCTCTCTGAGTTCGAGGACAGCCTGGTCTACAGGTCTACAGAGACCATGGAGGGAACTTTGAGTACAGAATTAAGAACTCACTAACCCGCTAGTTGCTATGACTGACATGTGATTTAGGAGCAATGCAAACACCGCCTTGCTTTCCCCACCTGTATTCACAAATCCAGCAGGTGTGGCTCAGGTCTCTCTGCTTCTGATTAGATCACTATGTAAAATAAAATGTCCCGAAACCTCCGTGTGGGTTTGGAGGGATAAAGTGTTTGTTTTGTAAGCACAAAGAAGCTGAGTTCAATCCCGGAACCCACAGAAAGAAGTGGGTATGTCGAAGCGGGCGGGAGAAGTGGCTCAGTGTGTAAGATCGGTGGCTGCTCAAGCATGAGGACCTGAGTTCTGATCCCAGAACCCACCTTAAAAAGCTAAGCATGGCCACACTGGAGCCTGTAACCCTAGTACTGTAGAAGCTGGAAATGGGGGAATCACTGGTCCAGTGAAAGGGGGAGAAAATTGGGGGAAGGGAAATCAAGCCGATTGCCCGTGTCAGAGCCGGCAGGAAGGGTGGGGAGGACAGATGAGGACAGGACCAGTATGGAAGCCGGCCTGGTACCCTTCAGGGAGCCAAGACAGATGCCCTGGTGGCAGCTTCAGACACCGGGAAGGTCTTCAAGGTCTTTCCACACCTAAGCTGGAGCAGCCAGGTAGTTACCCATCAGACCCAGCCGCAGCTTCTGGCCTCTGTTCTAACTAACCAGCAGCATCCTCGCAGTCCTCTGCTTCCACAGAGATGGAGTCTCCTGTGGCCAATACCCATCTCAGTCCATGTCTCTTCTTCCTAAGGCATAATATCATTAAAATGGGTAGATATTTTCAGCTAAGAGGCAACGCTGTTTGGAATCTATGTCTAACAGAGTCGGTTTTGACTGGCATGGAACCTTTCCTGTTTTCACCAGGCCAAACCTAAAGATACTTTGGAGCTGTGCCAGTTCTTAAACAATGACCTAGCTGCCACCGTTGCCAGATACCCTCGAAGGTTTGTGGGTTTGGGAACGTTGCCTATGCAAGCCCCAGAACTAGCCGTCGAGGAAATGGAGCGTTGTGTGAAGGAGCTGGGATTTCCAGGAGTCCAGATTGGCTCCCACATCAACATGTGGGACCTGAATGACCCGGAACTCTTCCCTGTCTACACGGTGAGTATTGCTGCTTTTACTCAGTCAACATGGCGGCTGCACAGTCTTGGGCCAGCAACACCATGCTAGTTGGGCACCAAGAAGGGACCATCCCGCTGGGGTAAAGGGACAGGACACAAGAGGCCAATGTCATTAGATGTAGGTAGGAGATGTAGAAACCTACACACACTTTTCTTCTTTCTTTCTTCCTTCCTTCCTTTCTTTTTTTCCGAGACAAGGTTTCTCTGTATTGTTTTGGAGGCTGTCCTGGAACTCGCTCTGCAGATTGGCCTTGAACTCACAGACATCTGCCTGTCTCTGCCTCCCTAGTGCTGGGATTAAAGGCATGTGCCACCAACACCCTTTCCTTTCTGCTATGGAAAAACAATATTTTTCAAAATTATGAAGTAATTTTGAAAAGACTGTAGAAATACAAGAATGTATAAAAAGGAAGACAAACATTCCACCTGAAGACAGTAGTCACTGGTATGTCTCATTTCATTTATAAGCTTTGCATATCTACATTTTTAACAAAATTGGAATTCTGTTACACATGTGATCTTATATCGTAATTGAAAATTTACAAGCTAAATAAACATTATCTGTGTGTGTATGTGTGTGCAAGCAAGTACGTGGCATGCATACTTATGTTTGCATGTGTGTGGGCACACGTGTGTGCCTATATATGGTGAATAACACCAGGCATCTTCCTAGACAGCTCTCCACCTCAGTTACTGAAGCAGGGTCTCTTGCTGTTCGTCTGTTTCAGCCAGTTTAGCCAGCTTACTCCAAGTATCCCTTGTCTCCACCTCTCTAGCACTAGGGTTACAGGCAGGCCACCTAGCTTTTATGTGCGTTCTGAGAATATAAACTCTAGTCCTCACCCTTGGGTGACAAGCATTTTACCCATTGTACCACCTCCCTAGCCCATTGAAGATTATCTTAATGAATGACTTTTTTAAAATTGCAGAATATTCCAATGTATTGGTGTGTTTCTATTTAATTCATCAATCTGCATTCAAGAACCTTAGGAAGAAGCTGGACTTGGTGATGCATGCCTTTAATACCAGCACTCAGGCAAAAGCAGGCAAAACTCTTGAGTTTCAGTCCAGCCTAATCTTCAAAGTAAGTTCCAGGACAGCCAAGGCAACACAGAGAAATCCTGTCTTCAAAAACCAAAACCAACCCCCCCCAAAAAAACAAAGAACCTTAGGAAGCCAAAGGTATATTTTGGCAGTACATAATAAAAATACATAATAAAACTGAGCATGGATGCCAAGCCTATAATCCCATCACTCAGGAGCCTGGGGCAGGAAGATCAAGAATTTGAGGCCAGCCTAGGCTACATAGCAAGTTTCAGGCAAGCCTGAGACACAGCATGATCCTGTCTCAAAACCTTCAAAATAGGCTGGGCGGTGGTGGCGCACGCCTTTAATCCCAGCACTCGGGAGGCAGAGGCAGGCTGATCTCTGTGAGTTCGAGGCTGAGCTGGACCAACAGCCTCAAAAACAATACAGAGAAACCCTGTCTCGTAAAAACCAAAAAAAAAAACCCTTCAAAATAGATATAGATAGATAAGAAGGAATACAGGTAGGAGGAAGGGGAACATATAAATAGATACATCAATACTTAGATGATACATAGATAGGTTATAAATAATTGATAGATAAATGATCGATAATAGATACATACATAGGTAGATAGAAGTTTTACATATATAAATAAGAATGCCATGAAAATGCTAGCATTTGATAAACTGGTGAGTATATGAGTGCTTATTGTGATATTATTTATAATTTCTATATATAAAATACTTCAACGTTAAAATGCATTTCCGAAATGGTACTATCTGGTTCTGAAATACCCAGTTTCACATGCCAGCATCCTCTCCACCACTCTTCCTTCCTCATCCTGTAGCTGAATTAAACATCTCTGGTACCAGGATTTATGGTCCACAATTCTTCACTCAATTGCATTTTTTTGCAAGTTTCACTTTCCTCTCACAATTATAAGGTATGGGATGCTTTTCTATTATTTCCATCATAATGCAAAAATCCTTAATAATGTTTTAAGTAGATGTTTACAGACTCACCAGGAACTCTACTCTCTGTAATTTATTCATTTAATATTTATGGAGTGCTAATTGCATGCAAAAAAAGATTCCATGTTTGTGTCTGTGATGACTGCCCACCATGTGGGGAATTGCTTATGAAACTACCTCTAAAGATCTAACATTCTTTTCAATACTGAACTCTCTGAACGAATTAGCAGCAGAGGCTCGGCTGATGCAGAGAATGTTTTCTGGAAATTTCAGTGAGCTTTGGACAAAGATTTATTTACTCATGCATCCAAGTTGCCTCAGCACAGTGTGAGAAAATCTTCAGCTACAAGTCATTTTTAGTATTCATCAGAACTGGATTTATACATTCCTGGGGGCTCAAAAAGCAATAACAGTACTGGCGTGCACACAGACATCTCTATGTCAGTGCCGAGCTCAACCCATCCATCATCACTCCAGTGAGATCGTTGGGGAGCATGCCAGTCTCTGGGGGACTTAGGAGTCCATCCTGACTCCAGTTGACCCGCAGTGTCCCTGGTCTGACAATCTATTTGTTTGGTTAGCAAGGCTGGTCTGATTAGCTCCTCTCTAGCTTGCGTCAATAACTTGGTCAAACAAATGGGAAGACCTGACAGCCAAGTTAGTGCCGTCGTGTGCTGCCATTTCAAGACGGTCCCCACACTCCGCAGCATCTGAATACCCTCCCCACCTTCTCCCATAGACCCCTCTCCTAAGTGAATGAATCTAGTAACACACACTCAGGTACAAAATGTTTTCATTGATGGTATGAGGCAAGCAGAATATTAGCGCCTGACCACCTGACTCTACCACTCATCAGATGTCACCTGACTAAGTTACGTGGGTTCTCTCTTCTCTGTAAAGTGAAGCAGGCATGAGTATACATCTCTAAACATGCATAACACAGAGTGTATGTCTCATAAGATTAAACCAGTTAGTAGTTGTAAAATTCCTGTGTATGTATGTGTATGTGTGTGTGTGTGTGTGTGTGTGTGTGTGCGCCAGATATTGACATCCAATGTCTTCCTCAGTTGCTCTTCCCTTATTTTTAAATGCTCTGTATATGAGTGTTTTGCCTGCATGTATGTCTGTGTACCACATGTGTGCAGTGTCCTCAAAGGCCAGAAGAGAGCTTCAGGTCTCCTGGGACTGGAGTTCCAGACTACTGTGAGCCATCCCTTCAGTGGTAGGAACCAAATGCTGGTCCTCTGGAAGAGCAGCCACATGGGTCTTAGCCACTGAGCCATCTCACCGGCCCTTTCACCTTATTTTTGGAAACAGAGCATCACTGAACTTGGAGCTTGCTGATTCCACTAAACTGGCTAGCGAAAGGGCTCCAGATATGTTCCTGTCTCAGGCCCCCAGCACTAGAATTAAATACATGCTGCTGTGCCCAGCTTTTACTTTACTTGGGTTCTGAGGAGCTGAACTCTGGTCCTCACACTTAAGCAGCTGGCATTTTATTATCTGAGCCATGTCTTCAACCTAATATTATTAATTTCTTACAGTGGTGTTGGTATTAAGCTCTCTGTGAATGTTAGTTATGATCTGGAGAGCTTGAGGTTTTGTGATCTCTATCATGCCCCACACTTAGAAGGAAATTGTTTTTCATGTTAATTTGAACTGAATCAAATTTATCCCAGTGAGAGGTCAGATCTCACAAGGTGCCATGGTCAGATGCTTTGGGGAAGCCTACGGCATCCCAAGAAGCCAGTATTTTCTGTCCTCCTTGCATTCATGATCAGGAAGCAGTTAGCTTCTGTGTCTTCAAAAGCTCATGTCTCTGTGCTCCACAGGGCCTGCTGAGTTGGAGATCTCCAGTTCATCCTTTGCCTGTCACGTCTGGGATCCCCAGCTATCCCAAACTGTGTCATTTAAAAATGCTTGCATACCCAAGTCACACTGCATCAGCTGGCTTAGCACCAATATCTATGTGAAGAAGTAGGATGAGTCACACCTGTATCCCAATACACTTAAAATGTCCTGACAAAAGCTGGTTCGGAACCTCAGTAAACACTGGTATAAATGACTATTGTCCTAGATTTTCTTCTATTGCTGTGATAAAACACCACGACCAAAGCAACTTGGGGAACTACCAGCCCACATCAATCATTAATCAAAAAAGGTCCCCACTGACTTGCCTACAGGCCATCTGATGGACCCTTTCTCAGTTAAGGTTCTCTCTTCCCAGATAATTCTAGCTTGTATCAAGTTAATAAAAAAATAAAACCCTCACCAGTAAAACAACTGAAGGAATTAAATCAAACATTTTGCTGACTCAAGGTTATTCCATTCACATAGTCTTTCCATTTTCCAGAAGATCTTGACTCAAGGTTATTCCATTCACATAGTCTTTCCATTTTCCAGAAGATCTTGACTCAAGGTTATTCCATTCACATAGTCTTTCCATTTTCCAGAAGATCTTGACTCAAGGTTATTCCATTCACATAGTCTTTCCATTTTCCAGAAGATCTTGACTCAAGGTTATTCCATTCACATAGTCTTTCCATTTTCCAGAAGATCTTGACTCAAGGTTATTCCATTCACATAGTCTTTCCATTTTCCAGAAGATCTTGACTCAAGGTTATTCCATTCACATAGTCTTTCCATTTTCCAGAAGATCTTGACTCAAGGTTATTCCATTCACATAGTCTTTCCATTTTCCAGAAGATCTTGACTCAAGGTTATTCCATTCACATAGTCTTTCCATTTTCCAGAAGATCTTGACTCAAGGTTATTCCATTCACATAGTCTTTCCATTTTCCAGAAGATCTTGACTCAAGGTTATTCCATTCACATAGTCTTTCCATTTTCCAGAAGATCTTGACTCAAGGTTATTCCATTCACACAGTCTTTCCATTTTCCAGAAGATCTTGGCGCAGCTTAGTATTCACTTTAGTACCTACCCAGCTCAGGCACTGAGTGCTCTGTCTTCAGTAAATTGCTTTCATTCATGGGAGAGTGATGAGAGACTCACTAGGCTCCAGGAACACACAGACCCAGACACCCCATCACTGTTGGATCCAACTATCTCAGGGCTTAGATCAAGCCAGCCTACCCCATTCTAGCTCTAAGATCCTAATCCCTGGATCATCAATTTCCCGAATTGATTGACTGATTTGTTTGTTTGCTTTATTTATTCATTTATTTGATAGATATGTGGTCTCCCTGGCTCATCAGTTTCCGGAATTGATTTGTTTGTTTGCTTTATTTATTTATTTATTTATTTATTTATTTGATATGTGGTCTTTCTGTGTACTCCTGGCTGACCTGGCATTCTCTGTGTAGCTCAGGCTGGCTTTGAACTTGCATTGACAGGTGTATACAACCATGCTTGGCCCTCATTTCCTCACTTTCTGTAGCTCCAGGTTTCTAAGAGGGGAGAAGTGGGAAGCCCTCCTGCCCTGCCTTCAAGGATACCATCCCAGTCATCTTGAAAAGGTGAACTGCACAGGCACCAGTGGGAAGAATTCCCCTTTATTTGAAATGTAGGATTAGACCTTAAGCATTTGCTCTTCATCAAAATGTTTGAGTAGGGGCTGGAGAAATTTTTCAGTCAATAAAATGCTTATGTTGGAAGTACAAGAGCTTGAATTCAGTGTCCAGAATCCACATTTAAAAAGCCGGCCATGCTGGTATGCCCTTACAAACCCTGAACTGGGGAAACAGAGACAGGTGGATTCCTGTTGCTCACTGGCCACTCAACCCAGACAAGTCAGTGAGCTTTAGGCTAGTAAGATATCCTCTCTCTCTCTCTCTCTCTCTCTCTCTCTCTCTCTCTCTCTCTCTCTCTCTCTCTCTCATACACACACACACACACACACACACCATTGAGTGATGATGTTTCCTGTAATTTCTTTCATTAAGCAATATGTTAAATTCATCAATCTATGCTTAATTCTGAGAGTTCTTTTTATTTTTCCAAGCAGTAACAATTGGTCAAATATACTTTTATACAGATGAAGAAGGAACTTCAGAAGTATCTGAGCTTATTTACTCAGATCAATGTAGAATAAGATATAAAATAGTGGTTTCCTCCAAATAACCTCTTTCTCCTTGCTCTATTGAAGGCAGCTGAGAAGCTGAACTGTTCTCTGTTTGTGCATCCCTGGGATATGCAGATGGATGGACGAATGGCCAAATACTGGCTGCCTTGGCTTGTAGGTTTGTGCTGGACTGGGGTTGGGAATACAGCATCAACTCTTGGGTTTTTCCAGTTATCCATGGAACTCTGTTCTTCCAGAGGAAGAAAGTGGGATCAGATTGAGAGTAATAGCAACTACCATTGACTAGGCTCAGACAAATGATCTATGTAAGACCATAAACCACATAGGAAATCACATATTGAACTGGAAAAGTTGGCATTGTAATGGCAGTTTCATATATGGGTAAACTGAGTCTTGAAGTGATTGGTGGTTAGCTAGGATGCACAGTTAACAGGAGAAAATGCAATTTAACAGTCTACCAGACTGCAAAGGCACTTTACTATATAGGCCTCCAAACATGCTCCCAAAGCAGTTACCATGCCTGTGCAGCAGGGTGTTCTTGTTGATAATGTTGTTGTTGTTTTAGGCCTTGATAATGATGTAAGCTGTAAATTATAAACCTGAAGTTAGCAATAGAAGGTCAGTTCCCACTTTCCAAGGTTGGGAGACCTTAGATTTCGGGAGACCTGGGCTTTCAACACAACTGTCATTTATTCCTCTTTTCTGCACTTTGCCTCCCATGCTGGGAAAGGGAAAGAAGAAAAATCTCCATTTTCCCTGTCCATCTCTCATTACCAGTTCTAGAAAGAAGAAAAGATGAGGAACAAATGTAAAATTTGGGGACTACAAGTGAAAAGTCTGTATCCCACTACGCAATCCATAGCAAACCTCTTCACCTTACTGGGCTTCAATTTCTTATCTGTAAAATGAGAGAGCTGGTCTGTGTTAATCCCACAGATTCAAGGAGAAAAACCACCAACCAAAACCATCATGGTCACATTAATGAAAGCAAGCTTTTTTTTAAAAAATTGTGTGCATGGGCTGTCTCCCCCTAAGGTGGGGTTCAAGAGATCAGCATTGAATGTGAGTGTTAGGAATAATGAATAATGGGTTAGTAGAGCAGGTTGCAGGTCCCAGGTCCCAGGGCGGTGATGGACGGCAGGCAGATAGGGAAAGAGACCTGCAGACGTGAAAGTTTTATTGAGGAGGAGGAGGCAAGAAAAGAGGTAAAGAGACATAGAGACACAGAGACACAGAGGACAGAAGAGAAGAAGGAGACAGGAAAAGTCCTGTCTGCCCCAGGGGAACAGGGGGAAGGAGAGAGAGAGGGAGAGAAAGGGATCCTAAGTGAGCGGAAGAGGGGGTGTGGGAGATAGGGGGGTGGGAAGGATGCGGGGGTTACTTACAGGAACAAAAATGACCCAAGTATCACCAAAGCCCACACCAGCATGGGTGACAGCTCACAAAAGGTGGGAACCTGGGGTTTGCTGAACAGCCTGCAGGCAGCTTAGCATATTGGAGTGTTGTCTCTTTCAGGCCTCTTCTGGGCAACTTGGCTAGTGTGAGGCTCTTCTAGGCAACTCAGCTTGTCTGAGAGTATCTCTTAGCAGTCTTTATTGCTTACATATGTTTAGGGGAGGGGCCTAATGTATACAGTCAGTTTCGGGGACTTCCAGAAGTTGTTTACTTCCTGAGCTTAGGCAGCTTGCCTGTAGAATGAAATGTTTCCCCTTCCCTTGGAATATCTTGTCTTAATGAGCTTCCTTTCAGAATGGAATATTTCACCTCCCTTTAATACCATGCATCTTAATGAGCTTCTCTGCAGGTTCCACCTAGAATGTTCCACTTAGAACATCCTGTGTCTTAAGGAGCTTCCCTCCAAGAAGGAGGCTCTATTTCAATGAATTTGTTACAAACAAATAAACAACAACACGCATGCACAGACACAGGCCCACACATTTGTACAGGCTACTGTAGGCAGAATGACCTGTGAGGCTATCATTCAACTGACCAGTGGAAAGGTGACCCACAAAAAACCAGAAGGAAATGGTATTGTCTGTCACCCTGCCTTCAGAATCTCTGTTGGAAAAACTACCCCTAGATGAATGCAATCCACCATGCTCCTGGAATTTCCAGGAGGCCAGGAAGCTAAGCACTTCTGTGCTTGTAGAACAGCGAGGGGCAGAACGAATACACGATGAAGTCCTAGTTGGTTATCAGTCATGTTGCATTGTATTTCCAAGTAGCTCCTTGAGAGTTAAGGCTTCAGACATGAGCCAACTGCTGCTTCTAGGAGTGTGAAGCACTTGGAGAAACTCACATCAGCCCAATAATTTTTCAGCCTTAGCTCCAAGAGACAGCAGAGACTTGGCAGGATTAACAGTAATAGTTGCTATTTAGTGAGCTGTAACTAAGTACCAGATACTATCCTAAAAATAACCCGTTGTTGGGAACCAACCATCACTGTTGTATAAACTGAAGACATGATGGCTCTGAGGTATGGTTGGCTGGAAGGTTTGCCTTGCAGATATGAGGGTGAAAACCACCAAAGGCATCTGGAAGAGCCCAGAACAGAGAAAATAAGCAGACTGAACACGGCCAGTCATGAAAGGAGAGAGGGGGAGAGAGAGATGAATAAAGACAGGGGCAAGAGATGCAAACAAAGAGAGGGTAAGGGAATATTTGTCTAGCAAGAACAAAGACCTGGGTTTGATCCTCAGCACCGAGAAGAAACCTAAGGGAATCAGTGTTGCTGGTAGTCAGGGTCAGGTCAGGGGTTTCCAGCTTCTTGGCTCCTTATCCAAAGAGCTGAAAAGAAGGACTCACATAGATTTGCAGAATAACCTTATTAGGCATGAACAGATGGTATAGACAGTAGAAGATACTCTGTAAAGACTGACAGTCTAGGTCTCTGTTTTGTTTGTTAGATTGGGTCACGAGTTTGTTTTCTTTCTGTAAATGACGGTGCAGTGAAACCACTGAACTGTACTGATCCACGGTGCATGGAAAGAAAAGGGTTACTGTAAATATCAAGCTGCCAGGTAACTCCCTCTAGTGTGGTAGAGACACTAGCCAGAGCTGCCATAGCTACCTCTCAAGAGGCAGAGAGGAGCAGAGAGAAAGGCCAGGGTAAGGGGTCGGTTTTAAAGGGAGCAGGTAGCTGCAGGGTTGGGGAAAGAAGAACTTGGGAGCTGGGATGGTCTGGGGGTTTAGATCCAGAAGAGCCCAGCAGCTTTGAAATTCTCCATAGCTTCATATTAATAGGGACTAAAGGAGCCCGAAGGTTGGTGTAGGCTCTGGTGCATAACTAGATGTGTGTTTGCCTTAGGTAGAAAGAGATAAGGGAAGTGGCTCTTCTTGGCAGAGAGAAACACGGTTTCTGAGCAATGCTGCTTGTGAGCTTGTATCTACCCACCAGCAATCCTGTGTCCAGCTTGAGCTGAGTCCAGAATCATCTTGAAACATAGTTAGTGGCTGCCTTTTGGGGTTTGGGACCTAACACTTACTATGAGTGTCACTTCCCATAATGCATTTTATTTTAATTATATACCTGCCTAGTTATGCATAGGCATAATAGTAGAGGATTCTCCCTAATGGGTTACTAGAAGAAACCGTTTGTTGTTGTCGTTGTTTGTTTGTTTGTTTGTTTGTTTTTCAAGACAGGGTCTCTCTGTGTAGCCCTTACTGTCCTGGCACTCACTCTGTAGACCAGTCTGGCCTTGAATCCACAGAGATCCCCCTGCCTTTGTCTCCCAAATGCTGGGATTAAAGATGTGTGCCACCACTGTCTGGCTTAGAAGAAACAGTTTTGCCTTACTGTAAAACTGGTTTGGGCCAGATAGGTCCTTTTATTCTTCCTAGCTGGATATGTTGGGAATACACTGGAATAGAAATGATATAAATTTGATTGTTACCAGGCCTGGGGAAACTAAGTTGACAGCATCATTCAAAGATGAGAATGTATGCAATCTGATGCAGGTTGGGGGCCCAGGAGCTCTGAGATTGCTAGGTTCATTGTTTGAAGAGGTGTGCACGTGCGATTCATAGTATGTGCAAGTGCAGGGGCTGAGCTGCCAAGTGCATTATTGTAAGGGGAGGTGTGTGTAGCCAACCACAAACCAAATAGGAATCCCAAGACAATTACCTCCAATGCTCGCCTGCTTCATCAGGACCAAAGCCGGGTCTGTTGTCAGTTACAACTCTTAGACTACTTTTCTTGAAATAGCAAGTGGGGACCTTTGGATGATTCTTCTTGGCCAAGTAATACCCTGCATACATTTGAATCATTGCTGAGGCAGAGGCCTCCCGCCCCCATTTCACTTCACTGACAATTCCCCAATTTAGCTGTTGCTCTGAAGCCACTGTCACTAAGCTTCTTGCTTAAGTTAACAAGCCCTGAATCGTATAACTGTTTCCTCTTCTAGGAATGCCATCAGAGACCACCATGGCCATTTGCTCCATGATCATGGGTGGGGTGTTCGAGAAGTTTCCCAAGCTCAAAGTGTGCTTTGCACATGGAGGTGAGACCCTATTTGTATCAACTCAGAATGGCCTAAGGAAATGCCACAGACAGGGTGACTTAAAGCAACATTTTCTCATGGTTCTGGAGGCTAGAAATCTAAGACTGAAGTGCTAACAGGGTTGGTTTCTTGTGAGGGCCTTCCTCCTAGCACATAGATGGCCACCTTCTCCCTGTGTTCTCATTGACCCTGTGTGCATTCATGGGTGAGAAGAGAACAAAGGACAGTACTTGAAGGAGAGAGACGGCTCTGGCCTCTTCTCTTGTGTGCATGTTAACATGTTTATTTGTGCGTGCGTGTGTACATGGTGCATGTGGAGGACAAGGACAAGGAGACCAATGTTGGGTGTAAAGGAAAGCCTTCCCGCCAGCCTGGTTCCAGAGCCACATCAGTCCCAAATAAACACACAGGAGACACATATTAATTATGAAGCTGTTGGCCTTGCTTGTTTCTTTCTGGCTAGCTCTGACTTAAGTATTTATTCCATAATTGCTAATCTAAGTATTTCTCTTACCGGAGAGGTTTCCGGGCTCCCTACCCCATGGCGTTACATCTTGACTTCTGTGTTTCTCCTTCCCAGAGTCCTTCTGGACTCCTAGTCCCACCTATCTTGGTTCGCTATTGGCCAACAGCACTTTATTGACAAATACACAGGACTTCCCCCAACAGTTGGGTATTGTTCCTCAGGCACCGCCCACCTTTTTATTTTTTTTCTAAGACAGGGTTTCTCACGAAACCGGGAGCTCACCAATCTGACTAGACTGGTTAGCTGGCAAGCAAGCCCAGGGGTCCTTCTGAATCTACTTCTCCAGAGCAGGGATTATAGCTGAGTGCCTGACTTTTTTTTTAAACATGCATTTGGTATTCAAAGCCAGGTCCTCATAGTGTCACTGCACAGTGGGTCACTTTATCAAATGAATTATCTCCCCATCCATTTTTCATTTATTTGTTTGCTTATTATTTATTTATTTTTAGTGCTACTGAGTATTGAATCTAGAACCTCACACATGCTAGATAGGTGCTGTATGCCAAGATACATCCAGGCTTTTTTGAATTTTTAAAAAATACTGTTGCTGGTGTGTGTGTGTGTGTGTGTGTGTGTGTGTGTGTGTGTATGCCACGTGTGTGTGCAGGTGCTTTCTGAAACTAGAGGAGGGTGTCAGAGCCACTGAAGCTAGTTACAGGTAGTTGTGAGCCACCCTTCATGGGTGCTGGTACTATATAGGTCTTCTGTAACAACAAGAACCTACTGGGCTGTTTCTCCAGCTCCTTGAGTTTGTTTTGAGACAATCTCTCACTAAAGTTTCCCAGGCTGGTCTCAACCTCAGTCTTTGAACTTGCAATCCTCCTGCCTCTGCCTCCTTGTAGGTGGTGCCTTCCCCTTCACAGTAGGGAGAATCGCCCATGGATTCAACATGCGCCCAGACCTCTGCGCCCAAGACAATTCATCTGACCCCAGGAAATACCTTGGGTCCTTCTACACAGACTCCCTGGTTCATGATCCTCGCTCTCTCAAGCTGTTGATAGATGTCATAGGAAAGGTAAGCTGGGGGTCCCATTTGGATGGTTTGTGGAGATCAGAAGGCTGGGCCAGCAGCTCTCGCTACTTGACAAGTTAGACCCTTTTGAGGAAAAAGGAAACTTTGAGTTAGTAAAATATATAAAATATGTACTGCTGTTTCTTGGTATCCAGATGGAACTGATTCCAGGACCCCAGAAGATAACAAAACCCTCATATGCCCAATTGTTTTATATTAAGTGGTATAGTTTTTGTATGTAACTTATATACACCCTCCTAAACGCTCCAGATTGTTCATAATACATAATGCAAAGTAGGTGGTGTCTATTGCTTAGGAGATATTTAAAGGGAGAAAGCTTCTATGTGTTAAAAACAAAAGCTGTTTTCCAAAGTATTTTCTTTTTATCAAGGCATTATGGCATATTCATACATCTATATACATTATGTACTTGGATCATATTTACTCCCATCACTCTCTCTTTTTCCTGTTTTAGTTTTTAGTTTGCTTTCTGTTGCTGTGATTAGGACCATTACCAAAGGAAACTTGGTGAGGAAAAGGTCTATTTGGCTTACAGGTTGTAGTCCATTGTCAAGGAGGCCAGAAGGTCAATGCAGGAACCAATAAAAGGCATTCATATAGGTAAGAGGTAAGAAAAGTTTAAAAATCAGATAATTACAAGTAGATACATAACCTTCTATAGAAAGAAGCTGAGAGCAAGTCTAAATAATAATTTAAAATTTCCAAACCATGAGTGGTGCTGGTCTATGGTAGCATTTAAAAATAAAAAATCAGTTCAAGCCGGGCGTTGGTGGCGCACGCCTTTAATCCCAGCACTCGGGAGGCAGAGGCAGGCGGATCTCTGTGAGTTCGAGGCCAGCCTGGTCTACAGAGTGAGTTCCAGGATAGCCTCCAAAGCCACAGAGAAACCCTGTCTCGAAAAACCAAAAAAAAAAAACAAAACAAAACAAAAAAACAAAAAATCAGTTCAAGGGACTGGGGAGATTAGATGGCTCAATGGGTAAAGCAATAGCAATACATGCCTAGATACCTGAGTTTGAATCCCCAGGATCCACATAGCATGGGCTCATCTTTAATCCCAGTGCTCTTAGAAGCTCAAGGGCAAGCTAGCCTGGTATATGGGACAGAAAAACAACAAAAAGACTGTTTGAAACAAAATGGAAGGCAAGGACTGACACCTGACATTATCCTCCTCTCTCTCTCTCTCTCTCTCTCTCTCTCTCTCTCTCTCTCTCTCTCTCTCTCTCTCTCTCTCTCTCTCTGAAAGCAAATATCATAATCAGAAGGGCTGAATTGCAGAAGACTTGGAGACTACTTTTCATTTCTGCTTTAGACTCTTGCTTTCTCCATATTAAAACAGGACAGACTGCTTCCTAAAGCATATTTATATCTGAGAATGCCATCATGCTGGGAAGGGAAGAATTCCTAATTAGAAAATTAATGCCTGGATTTCAACTTCATGTTAATGTAGCTGACGAGTGTAGTATAAGCATGGGACTCTAAAATCATGTTGTATTTTGGAAATGTAAACAGCTTTAGCAAGAAGAAGAGATGAACCCCTAGCGAATACCGAGCAGAGAGTTAGAACAAGATCAGCTGCTGGCACAGATGTGAGGAGACTTAACTTAGTGTCTTTAGGGCTTCTACAGCAGGTGTATTTGCTTGGCGTCATAAACAAATGAATGCAAAAATCTAAAACTAAACTATGCAGTTTATCATGGACTTTGAAACTGTGGTGTGTGTGTGTGTGTGTGTGTGTGTGTGTGTGTGTGTGTGTGTCTTGGACATCATGGGTTCTATTGAATCACTCTGATTTATTCTCTTAAGACAAGGTCTCTTATTGAATCTGGAGCTAGGCTGGCAGCCAGCAAGCCCCAACACCCCTCTTTTCTCTGCCTCCCACCGCACTAGGATTATAGGCAACTGCACAAACATGTTCACTTGAGGTGCTGGTGGTTTGAACTCAGTTCCTCCTAACTGGGCAACAAGCACTCTCTGAACTATATCCCTAGCCACCAAATATACATACATACATACATACATACATACATACATACATACATACATGCATACATACGCACGTACATATACATGACACAAGGTCTCACTCTGTACACCAGACTGACCTATAATTCACAGACGCCTGCCTCTGCCTCCCTAGTACTGAGATAAAAGACATGCGCCACCAACACCCAAGTCAAATTTCTATTTTTTTAAATGACCATTTCCTCCAGTATACACCATTAACTGAAGTATTTTTTAAATTTGAAGTTATTTTGAATAATATATGTGTATATGTTACACATACACACACATATATATGGTATCATGGGATTTTGATATATGTAAATGGTATAATGTTACTATCAGGTTAAACATATCTACTCAAGCATATCTCTATGGTGAAACGTTACAGGTCATTTCTCCTGGCTTTTTGAAATAAACAGTACATTATTATTATTATGTATAGTCATCCCACCATATAACACAGGCCTGATGTTCTTTAGTTGGTGGGTTGGCTGTTGCTTCTGGAGACAGGGTCTCACTTTGCAGCTTTGCAGCCCAGGTTAACTGGACCTTACTATATGATCCAGGCTGGCTTTGAACCCAGATGTGCCTGCCTCTTAAGGCAGGGATCACAGGCATGCACCACTCTAGATGGCATACATCAGAACTTCTTGTCTCTATCCCATTAGTCAACTTCTCTGCCTCTCTCTCGTTCTGTTCTTACAGTCTCTGGTGACTAATACTCTACTCTCAAATTCTATGAGCTCAACTATTTTATAGACAGCATACGAGTGCTGGCACTTACTTCTTTGTTATGAGCCTGTTTCACCTAACATGATGACTTCTGGTTCCTTAACATTTTGAAAATGAAGCCGGGCGGTGGTGGCGCACGCCTTTAATCCCAGCACTCGGGAGGCAGAGGCAGGCAGATCTCTGTGAGTTCGAGGCTGGGCTGGACCGACAGCCTCGAAAACAATACAGAGAAACCCTGTCTCGTAAAAACCAAAAAAAAAAAATTGAAAATGAAAACATCTCATTCTTCTTTGAAATGAAAATATACGTTCACACTAAAAAATCATAAAGGAAGGCCTGATTTTAAGCTCAATGACTGCAGTTTGCTTCTAGTCTTTCTAGTCTGTTCTATTCACCTGAGTACTTACTTGAATGCTAATAGCATGTTGTTTGGGTGACTATGGCTTTGAAGTATACTTTAAAATCAATATGGTCACTCCTGTTTTGTCTTTTTGGTTCAAGACTACTATGACTGTTTAGGATCTTTTGTGGTTCCATAGAAATTATAAGATTGCTTTTCTGTTTCCATAAAAATTGCCATTGCTGCCCACCGTGGTGGTGCACACCTTTAATCCCTGCATTCCGGAGGCAGAGGCAGGTGGATCTTGTGAGTTCAAGGACATCATGGTCTACAGAGACTTCCTGAGTAGCCAGAGCTGTTACACGGAGAAATTCTGTCTTAAAAACAAACAAAAATGTCACTGCCATTTTGAGAGGTATTGAATTGAAACTGAATTGCTTTGAGTAGTGTGGCCATTTGACAACATATTAACATATTAATCCTCCTAACCCAGGCTATCTTTCCATTTATTGTGTCTTCAATTTCTCTCATCGATATAGTTTTCACCTCCACATTTAAATTTATTCCGAGGCATTTACTATTTTGCTGTAACTAGTGTAAGTGGGTTTCCTGCCTCAGATGGTTTTGCTGATATTATGTAGGCATACCACTGATATCCTCAAATTGACACTATATCCTGCAACTTTACCGAATCCTTTAATTAATTCTAAAGAGTTATAGAGCTTTCAGGGTTTTCTATACATATGATCATATCATCTGTAAAGAGAGATAGTTTCACTTCCTCTTGTCCAGTCTGAATTGTCCCTTCCTCCTTCTTCCTGCCAAGTTACTGTAGATAGAACATCCAGGACTCTGTTGATTATAAGTGGTGAAAAGTGCACAATTTTTTACTTCTTCCATATCTTTCTTATTTTGTTTTTTGAGACAGGATTTCTCTGTGTAGCTGTCCTGGAACTTGCTCTGTAGACCAGGCTGACTTCAGACTCAAGTGCAGGGATTAAAGGCGTGCACCACCTGACTTGTTCCATATCTTAAAGAAAAAGCTTCTCATTTTTTCCCATTCAAGCTATGGTTTTGAAAGACCCTTCAGTCTTTCTCTCAGGACCCTCACCCCAAAGAGCACCAGGGAGCCAAAGTTCATTGCAAACTGCAAGACAATTTTTATTAAGCAGGCGCGCTGAGGTTCAGCAGCCTTGGGAAAGAGTGAACCTCGAGCAGAAATTACAGCAAGTTTTTAAAGCCTAAAACTGCAAACGGGGTGGTGGGGGTACAAGGGGAGTTTGGAAGTTGGTGACAGACCTTCATGAATCACGTATGCTTGTGGCTGTCTGGCTGACTGGCTCGTTATCTGTCTTAGGCAACGTCTGTGAACTTTGCCTGGCTGAACTTTGTGACCGACCTGGAACCTTGAGGTCTGGGGAATGTTCCCAAGTCCTTGAGGACCACCAGGGGAAGATGTTTAAGTGTAGCTTCTCACGTCCAAGGACGGGACAGCTCAGTAATTTTCCAACTATTAGGGGGCTAACTGTTGGGGCTCTTCAGTTTCATGTCGCACCTGCTGTGAGGCCTGAATCCGAGAATGTAGCGAGGTGGTCGGGATAGATGACACAGAGACCGGTCGGTTGCTTTAAGAAAGCTTTATGCTTCCCAAGTCCGCTTAGGAGGAGACCCCAAGTCCGTTTAGGAGAGAGAGCTCCCCAAGAAAAAAACGCTTCCCCTTTTTAAGGACTTCTGCCATCCATCTACATACAATTCTTTCCAGACTTCTCACCCTTTTGGCTGGTGGTTTAATCTCCGGCCCCAGAATCGGGGAGACACAGCAGGGGAACAGGAAGAGGCATCTAGCCATAGGGGGTGTCAAAGTCATGGTTTTTCAGTGAGCGAGCCCTATCAAGAGCTTTATAGCACCGAATTGTTTTCAGTAAACATTATCTCACAGCTGCCTGCTCCCAGGCCGAAGGGGAAGTGGGTTTCTGCTCAAGGTCTGGTGTCCCCACAGTTTCATATATGGCCTTCACTGTATTGAAGGACTTTCATTTGGAGTATATAACATGGGTAGTGGAGGAGATGGTTAGCAATAAGAGCTCTTTCTGTATAAGCGTGAAGACCTGAGTTCAAATCCCAAGCACCTATGTAAAAAGCTGGGGCTGATTATAACCCCAGCCCTGTAGGACACAGATACAGGAAGATCCCTGAAGCTTGCTTCCAATCAGCCTAGCTCCAGGCTTGGTAAGAGACCCTGTCTTGTGGAAATAAGGTAGAGAATGCCATAACAGGACACCTGGTATTTTCACCTGGCCTCTACATGTGTACACAGGCCAACATACACATAAATATGCATATAGCACACACACACATACATACATACACACCTAGAGAACATTAATGAAATGGAGCAGTCCAAAAGAGAAATACTACACGATTGAACATATGTGGAATCTACAGAAGGCAGCATTGTAGAAACAACACAGAACAATGTTTACCAAAAGCTGAGAGGGGTGGCCAATAGAGAAGTGCCGCACACATTGCGCAGCCTGTATCCGAGAATGTGGCGAGGGTGTCGGGATTGATGACACAGAGACCAGAAGGCTCCTCAAGAAGGCTCTCCTTTATTCCTACTCTGGCTGGTTATTATATTCCCTGACACCAGAGGTGGATGTGGGTGGTCTGAGGATGCGGTAGTCTTTGGAAAAGGTCGAGGACAGGGCAGTTCCCGTGGGCAAGCCCTTTTCAGGAACTTATTGCCCCAGGCATTGTATTGTTTTTAGTAAACATTGTCTTACAGCTGCCTACTCCCAGGCTGATGGGGAAGTGGGTCTCTGCTCAAGGTCTGGTGTCCCCACAGAGAAGAGGTTGGCATAAAGTTACAGTTAAAAGGGAGTTTGGAGTTCTCCTGAACAATAAGGTAGTTCTAGCCAGAAACATCTTGTATGTTTCAAAATAGCTGTGAGAGAATTGTTTCACCTCAACAAAGCGATAAATGATCAGCTGATGGATAGTCAAATGCCCTGACTTGATCATTACACAATGTATGCCTGTATCAAACACTGCGTAGTACTGATGAACTTATAAAAGTGTTATTATCAGCTGGGCATTGGTGGCACACACCTTCAATCCCAGCACTCAGGAGGCAGAGGCAGGCAGATCTCTGTGAGTTCGAGGCCAGCCTGGTCTACAGAGCGAGTTCCAGGACAGCCTCCAAAACAATACAGAGAAATCCTGTCTCAAAAAAAACAAAAAAAAAAGTGTTATTATCAAAGTACAAATACTAAAGTGTTGGGGTACCCCAAATTGAGGAGGGGTCCCCAAGCTGGATTTATCACCCCAAGAATCAAGAGTCCACATGCCAATTGATGCAACATGCAAGAGACTTTAATTAGGCATCTGCAGATGGGCCTCTCGGTCAGCTTTTAGACTGATTGGCCCCGAGGTTCAGTTACAATCAGCTTTTAAAGACAAAAACCACAAGCCTTTGGGAGGGGTCCCTATCTTGTGACTGGGGGGACGGGGTACGTGACTACTGACCAGGGGAAGTAGATGTCTTCCTGACCTACACGTTGTAAATTCCTCAAACCTTGGTATGAGTTAATCATCTCTCCCTAAGTAAATGGTGGTTATCATCTCCTTGTTTCCCACAAATCTTGTTTGCCCATCTCTGACGCCCTGGTCAGTTCATCACAGGTGGTCAGCAGCCCAGAATTTGGCCTTTTGTGGGTTTACAGCCCTTCTGCAATTAAGGATGCTAAACCATACATTCCATTCTGTGGTTTGGCCAGTTCCTGGGATGGGGTCCTTTGTTCACTTCCCGAGTTCTCTAGTGGGGTGCCCTCCCTGTTTAAGCTTATATTTTATTTCTATAAATTCGGGGTCTTTCAAAAGTAAATATATAAGCTGAGTGGGGTGGCACACGCCTTTAATGCCAGCAATCACGAGGCAGAAACAGGTCGATCTCTGTGAGTTTGAGACCAGCCTGGTTTATACAGTGAGTTCCAGGATGTAGGGAGCCCTTAGATAGATAAATAGACAGATAGATGATAGATAGATAGATAGATAGATAGATAGATAGATAGATAGACAGACAGATAGACAGATAGATAGATAGATAATGCACGCTATTAGTACAACTGAAAACAGTATCAGTTATGATAACAAAACTATGTATTGAGTCAGAGAGATGACTCAATAGGTTAAATATCTCCTACACAAACAGATGGACAACATGAGCTGCATTTCCTGAAGAGAGAAAACTCATTTCCAATGTGTGGCTAGACCTCCACATTGCACCATGGCACACATCTCCCCCTCCTTCAATAGAGTCTCCTGATTTTGGAAAGTGCATTGCAGTTATATGAGAAGTGTCTTCTCAGCCAGGCCTGTTAGCACATGTCTTGAGGCAAAGGCAGTTGGATCTCTCTGAGTTTCTAAGCTAGCCCTGGTCTACACCGCAAGTTACTCGCCAACCAAAGCTACCCAATGAGGCCCTTTCAACAAAGATGAGGAGAAAGAGGTGGGGGCAGAGGAGGGAGAGGAGGAAGAGGAAGTTAAGATGGTTCCATGGGTAAAGGAACTTGCTGCCAAGCCTGACTTCCACAATTCATACTCTGAGCTCCACATGTCACCCCCTACACACACACACATACACACACACACACACACACACACACACACACACACACACACACACAAATTAGAGTTCAAGATGAACAGGACACTGCAACCAGAGGCATCAACCCATTAAAGTCAGTGAGCTATGAAAAGCTTGCTGTGACTGGAAGGGACTGTGGCTCATTTAGAGAACTCTAGCAGAAAGGATGCCATGTTTCACTTGGGAAAATTCAAGAGAAATTAACAAAGCAATTATTTACAAAGATATGAGAAAGCTAAACTGCCAGTTGGTCCAAAAATTTTCTTTCCCACTCTTCTTTCTTGCAGGGTCATTTGTGATGTACCACTGTAAGAAAGGTAGACTATTTCATTTCATCTGAATATACCCATATGTTTATCAAGTAAATACCCATTTCTTATATTTCAGTATTCTGCATTTCAATTATTAAGAAAACAAATGGGCTGAGGTATAGAATAGCTCATTCAATTAAGAGCTCATCATGCAAACACACTTACTTAGGACCAATTCCAAGAACCCATATTGAAAAGATTCAGGTGTGATGGTATGCACCTGTATTCCAAGCACTAGGAAGGTGGAGACAGGTGGCCCTGGGGATCACAAGCCAGCTAGATGAGCATATTTAATGAATTCCAAGCCAGTGAGAGACCCTGTTTCAAAAGCCAAGGTGGAGAGCACCTGAAGAATGAGACACCAAAGACTTGTGTTCTGACCTCCACACTTGTACACATACATACTCAGAAGCAAGACTTAAAGTAGGTTTGCAATTCTTAGAAGACCTCATAGTGACACCTGCTGGAACAAAGAAATAGCAAAATGAAAACTGAATCTTTTAAATCTTTAAAATTTTAGAGCAATTCTGTTTCTATTATATTAGGATAGTGTATATGATAAGCAAATGAAATGAGCAGAAGTCTCTTTAACGTTCTCATATTTGCAAATAAAATTGTATTTTTCTCCTTTCAGGATAAAGTAATTCTGGGAACTGATTACCCCTTTCCACTAGGTGAACAGGAGCCTGGGAAGTTGATAGAGTCCATGGGAGAATTCGACGAAGAAACAAAGGTATGTGCCTTGAACATTAGTCTTCTTGCACAGCTGAACAGAGAGACCACTATACTTTATTTGCCTACAACTCTATCTTCTGAAATAGCCAGTCTATTAAAACAAAAGCCTTAATATCTTAAAATAAGCCAGTATAACTAAATTCATAAATCTTCTGCCTTTACACATATGCTTGCGTGCGCGAGCGCGCGCGCACACACACACACACACACACACACAAAAATAAAAATTTTAAAAGATAATCAATGACTCTATCTAAGTGCTTTATCAAGCCAATCATGCTTTAAAATAAAACTCCTCTCTCTCTTTTTTATTCAGGATAAACTCACAGCTGGCAACGCCTTGGCTTTTTTGGGTCTTGAGAGAAAACTATTTGAATGTCAAAATTAACCACAAAAAATAACCTTCCAAGAAGCTACATCACCTATGTCTTTGAGCATGAGTCACACACACATCGCCAAAACTATTTTGAATTATGTCACCTAAAAAATGGAACATCCCCCTCAGGAGGATTAGGAATTCAAGTTCCAGACCAGTCTGGGCTACTTGAAACTGTCTTTGGGGGAGCAGGAATATTCCCAAATATTCTAACTTATTAATAACAAGATGTTTCATTAGGTTCTTATTCTGAAATGTACTGAAAAGCAGTCCATTGCTACCTATGAAACTCAAAACTATTTAATTTGGAGGAGATTAAAATTAATGTATAATTAATGATCTACATAGAGGAAAAACCCAGCACCAGACTTATTCTAGAAGACTCAGGTGGGTTCTCTATTTTGATCAAAGAAATGGGAATTATGCCCAAATAATCTGTGTTCTCCAGATGTAACCATCTCCAATAGTGTGGTCATTCACTGGGACATTTTTGTCTTCATAAACTACACACAGGATATGCACAAACTCAACTGTTCCAAAAGCTAGTTAAGAAAGTAAGGCAAATGCTCATGGAATAATTGCTGAGTGATCCAATACAAGCTCAAAGAGACTTCACTAAAATTTATTGTAGTCTCCCAGGTCTGAGTAAAAGTAAAAAGATGGTGGGCTGCGCATGGTGGTGAATGCCTCTAATGCCAGCACTCAGGAGGCAGAGACAGACAACGGATCTCTGTTTGAGGCTAGCCTGGTCTGTGCAATAGGCTCTAGACCCTCAACCAAGGAGACATAGTGAGTCAAAAACAAATAAGTAAATAAATAAACAAACAGAAGAGGGAAGACAGATCAGAAGAAAAAGCTTTGTGGAAGGGGTATGACTTCAGAGTGGATGTACCTTGTTCTAAAGGGAGTTTCACCTGTAAGCTTATTTTCACCAGAGCGGGAGGTAGACCGAGCTCTGGATAGTGAGTGGATGACATCATGATACCCTTGTTCCAGACCCACACTGTTCTACCTGAGTCACTGCACAGGAGCAGGCAGCGTCTCTCCTTCACATCAAATACTCTTTCCGTAGCACATCCTTTCCACTATACTACAAAGCCAGGCTGGCTATTAATGTGCACCTTGTGATGGCTCTTCAGCAAGGAAAGACAAGATCTAATCAATACCCAGTGCTTCCCGTCCTGTTATTTTCACCATCTGTGCTTCAATACCCCCTTCTTCTGCTGCTCCTCTCATTGCTTTCGATAACCCCCAACTATCACTCTGCTCACAATTCCAGTCTGCCTTGAAAGAAAAATAAAGTTAAGCAAAACAACAATTGGAAGCATATGTTACTGTTTTTCTCCTCTCCCAAATCTTCGGGAGAAATGTCTACTCCTTTTCAAATATTTCATATCTGAGCACTACACACATAATAATTTTATGAGTTACTTTTGTCTCACGCTGACCGAAAAGAACACACAAAAAACTTAAGGGAAGTTTCAGTACGTTGTGTGGGGGACCTGGAAGAGCAGAACAGTTCACACCACTGTGGGAAAACAGCAGGGGGAGAGAATGCCTGTAGCAGTAGGCTTGCTCATTTTTCTATTTTTCAATCTGGGACCCAGCCCATGTGACAGTGTCGCCCACATTCAGGGAATGCCACTGTCTTAGCCTTCTTTGGAAGGGTCTTCACAGACACACCTAGACGTGTGCTTTAGTAATCTCAATATTAACAATCCCAAATCCAGCCGGGCGGTGGTGGTGCACGCCTTTAATCCCAGCACTCGGGAGGCAGAGGCAGGCGGATCTCTGTGAGTTCGAGGCCAGGCTGGACCCACAGCCTCCAAAACAATACAGAGAAACCCTGTCTCGTAAAAACCAAAAAAAAAAAAAAAAAACCAAAAAAAAATCCCAAATCCATCCCAACACCACTTCTTCTTCTTCTTCTTCTTCTTCTTCTTCTTCTTCTTCTTCTTCTTCTTCTTCTTCTTCTTCTTCTTCTTCTTCTTCTTCTTCTTCTTCTTCTTCTTCCTTCTTCTTCTTCTTCTTCCTTCTTCTTCTTCTTCTTCTTCTTCTTCTTCTTCTTCTTCTTCTTCTTCTTCTTCTTCTTCTTCTTCTTCTTCTTCTCCTCCCCCCCTCCTCCTCTTCTTCTTCTTCTTTTGTTTGTTTTTTTTTTCAAGATAGGGTTTCTCTGTGGCTTTGGAGGCTATCCTGGAACTAGTTCTTGTAGACCAGGAAGGAGCTGCCCAAAGCAAGACAGAAACCTAGCAGGGCAAATATTAAGTTCTGTAGCTCCATGTCCAATACCCAGAGCTCATAGTGCTGTGCCCAGCAGGCTTGGGACAATCAACCCCTATGGTTTTGCCATTTGTAAGCCCTAGCCTCTCTCAGGCTGGTTCCACTTTGCCCAATACTTTCCCCAGGAGACATCCCACCTTCCTGGTATCACCAGCATCCTGGGGTCTCCACAGCATCCATCCTAGATTTTACTCTCCCAGCTTCATGCACTACACTCTAAGCTGCCGGCAGGGACTCTAACAATGTTACACACTGCCTAGCCTCCCAGACTTTCCTTCGAAATCTATGTGGAGGCTTCTATTGTGAGAGCCTGTGCAAGAAAGCTGAGAACTTACCGAATATAATGGATGGGGCAGAGTGCAGAATGTTCTTCCCACAAGGTGGCCTTCTAGAAAGAATTATATAAACTATGATAAGTGGATACACTTGGAAGCAAGGACATGAAGGGAATACTGTGGTGTGTCCACATTCTGTCTGTGAGAAAGTCAAAGGCCTGGGAGGAAGACTCTTGGCTCTTTGCACATGACAAAGACAATAAGACACAATGCCAGGTGTATTCCCTTGATGTACTTGCTTAAGCTAACTGTAAACATCACCTCATGTTTTGCTTGCTTTAGTAATAGAAATGAGAAATGCTTTGTTTGCACTACTCTTGAGTAAAAGCACTAAAGGTCCCCTGGTTAGCCCCACATATCAGATCTTTGGAATATCCTTCAATCCTCAGCTTAGTCTCAGTGGCCACAGGGTGGGCTGACATCTATAGTTCTGTAACTCTTTCATTTTGTTTGCTTGAAAAACTAGCATCATGCGGACAACAGCAATGTCTGCTTCCAGCCTGAGCCCTTTGGACTACAAATGGAGGGACCTCCTTAGGAAACTTCTTAGAAAGCCCTGTGTTAGTTCTCTATTCCAGGGAAAGTCTTTCCAATTAGTTTGCAACTCTGTATCATGGTAGTTGGGGTGAGTGGGGTCTCGCTGATTCCAAAGCCTGGGAATATCTTTTCTATTGTCCTGGTGCAAGATACTTGGCTTTTTTTTTAAAGAAGTCTCAAGTATCCTAGACTGACCTTGACCTCAACTCATTAAGCCAAGTATGTCCTTGAACTTCTTGTCCACCTCACGCCCACCCCCCACCAGTGCTGGGGTTACAGGCTATGCCACCATGCCCACTTTGCTTTTTAGCAGTGCTGGGATAGAACCAGGGCTTCATGCATCCTCAATACTGCCTCCCAACAGAATACCCACACCCTCCTGGGTTCTTTATAAGAGCCTGATCTCGTCAAATACCATGCCAAAGCCTTAACTTTGAACACCGTCCTTTTCTGACCAAATTACTTTTCAAATCTCCTCTGCTCTTTTGCTCCCTGTTCTCACTATAAAACTGGTTAAAAGCAGGCAGGAGTGCCCATTCCAAAGTTAGAATAAGGGGCTGTCTTGAAATTTTCTGCTCCAGATTAACTAGCCTATTACCAGTAAGTCCAGTTTCCCCTCGTCTCAGGGCATAGACAGAATGTACACAGCATAACACAAACGGCCTCTAGTCTCCCATTCTTCATAGAGTCCTTGTTCCCAGCTACAGGCTCGCCCATTTTCACCGGCTCTCTGCCAGAAATTGTCTGCATAACCCCAAGGATTCTAGAGCTGGCTTCTCTACATCTTCCTTCAAATCAGTTCTTCTTAGCCACAGTCAGTTAAAGAGTCAGCAACAACTCCACTTCCCTGGCACCAACTTCCTCTACTAGTTATTCTTTCACCACTCACCACTGTAATAAAAAAGTTTTCTTCCAGCTTAGTACCAGAGATTTCAGTCCAGCACCACAGGTACAATGGGGTGGAACACAGTAGTTCATGTTCCAGAAAGCAGAGAGGATACCTGTGCTAAGGGGCCTTTCTTTTTCTCTTTATTCTATGGAGTGGTCCCACTTGCATTCAGTGGGGGTCTTTTCCCAGGTAACTTCTCTCTGGAAAGGTCCTCACAGACACACTTAGAATACTAAGAAACCTGAGAAGAGATAGCAGTTTCCCAAGTAACATGTAACACTGCTGGTAGCACCCCAAAACTTCCAGTAACCTAGTAAATTCTCATATTCATCTTCACAAGAACATTTTTGTATGTGCCAGGGATGCAGGAATGTTCTAGGCACTGGATGGGGTGGGGGCGGGTATAGATGTAAACAAAAAGGATGGAATTTCTTTCCTGCAATTGGAAAAGTGAGAAACATTAAGGAGAATAGAGGATAAGAGTAAGACCAGGAGCACAGAAGGGAACTTCTCTTTATTGCTTAATACCTTAAAGACATTAAGGAAAACGTGACAGTGACTAGGAGACAGATGGGAAATAAAATAATCAGATGGGAAATCAAATATTCAGCTGTGGAGCCAAGGAAAGCCATCTAAAGAGGACTTTGAGATTTAAATGACAGGTTGGTCAGCCATGAAAAGCCTTCCCGCCTGGCAATAGTGCACACGGGCTTGGCCCAGGAAGGGATTGTGGCTGGAGAGTGTGGGCAAGTCAAAGCAGAAAGAGATGAAGCCAGAAATTTAGCTAGATCAGTAGATCACAGCAAAGCATTTAGACTTTCATATTGACCCTCACAAGAAGCTGTCCAAAAAAAAAAAAAACCAGAATGGTATAAATTTAAGCCTTGTGGCAGGAAAAGACAGGACAAGAAAGATTACTGGGGATGGAAGGGAAAGAGGGAGAGATTCTTATGCAAAGCAGCAAGATCATGCGAGGCCAATTGTAAAAGTGGCACAGAAAGCCAAGGTCAGTTATAGCTTCATGTATCAAGAGGAACAAAGAGGTTGGGGCTGCAGAGGTGGCTCAGCAGTTACAAGCACTTCCAGCTCTTGTAAAGGATCTGAGTTCAGACCCCAGGAACCCTTATCTGGCTCACAACTCCAGTTTCAGGAACTCTGACACTGTCTTCTAGCCATTGTGGGCACCATGTATATATGTGGTGCACATTCAATTCATACTTGCAGGCACTCAACCATACATTTAAAATAAAAATAAAAGTTTGTTTTGGGGGGGGTTGTTTTGTTTTGGTTTGATTTTTTTGGTTTTTCGAAACAGGGTTTCTCTGTAGCTTTGGAGGCTGTCCTGGAACTCATTCAGTAGACCAGGCTGGTCTCGATCTCACAGAGATCTGCCTGCCTCTGCCTCCCGAGTGCTAGGATTAAAGGCGTGTGCCACCAATGCCGGCTAAAAAAGTAAACGTTTTTAAAAAGAATGAATGAGAGAGCCGGGTGGTGGTGGCGCACGCCTTTAATCCCAGCACTCGGGAGGCAGAGGCAGGTGGATCTCTGTGAGTTCGAGGCCGGGCTGGACCGACAGCCTCCAAAACAATACAGAGAAACCCTGTCTCATAAAAACCAAAAAAAAAAAAAAAAAAAAAACACCAATGAATGAGGTTTAACGGATTAATAAGATAGTTCAGTGGCTAAAGATAACTGATAACCTGAGTTCAATCCATATGGCCGACAAGAAGAGAGTCCTTCAAGTTGTTCTCCAGCCTCTACGTCTGTGCTTCTGTGTCAGCAGCAACATATACACTTGTTTTAAAAAAAAAAGAATTTTTAATGGGCATACAGATCTAATTCTTCCTTCCCAATCTGTGTAAAGTGTGTTTCTCTTTTTTATTGTATCACCTGTAGCACTTATACAATGTTAGAAGGAGTCAACAGAGAGGGCACAGCCTGGCTTTGTCTGGTATCTTAGCATCATACTGGCTGTGGTCTTCTGCAGACGTTGTCTATTGAGTTGAAGAAACTCTCTTCCATTTCAATTTTTTTTTCTCTTTTTCCTCATTAGGAATGGGTGTTGGAGGAAGGTACTTACTGTCACTTTTAATCAATCTAAGACACAATATGTGATATCTTGTTATAGTATCTGTAACAAGATAGTATTTAGGTAGCTGTTCACAATAGCCACCTACAATAATCAAAACATTAGCATAGTATGGTGGAGCAGGCAGTAGGCTGAGGGCAGAAACCCCAAAATACTGACAAGCAAAAGCCTCAAATTTTAATTACAAA